CCGTATCACGCGTACACGTTTATTACATTAAATATAATGCTGCCGCTAGGGGGATTATGAGTAATACACTAGCAACCTTAATATATTCCATAGAAGAAAATGATTCATTAACTTAAAGCGGTGTCGCCATCTAAAATGTTGCAAAGGTAAATTTGGGTAATGGTTTTATACTTAAACCTGAAGTATTGATTATACTAATCAAAGTGCTGATTACAAATAACTAAAACTATATAACTGATACGTTGTATTGGTGGATTTCTGTACATAGCTGGTTCTAAAAATCGCGACAGAAGCAAGCTACATAACCATCAGTTTTGATCACTTTCATCGAGAGATCAGTTTTTGTAGCTTGTTCGTTTTTTTAATATCGTTATTATTATACTGAGAGCAGAGTCTGGAAAACACGCATGTGATAAGTTATAAAACATACAAAATATATAGTAAAATATCCAGCAATGGTCGTATATAGTATGTATGTGTTTTGTTATAGCAAAGCCACATTGGGCTATCTGCTGTGCCCACCGAGGGGAGTCGAACCCCTGATTTTAATCCTTATTGCTGTCCCATCGGGGGACTCATATATAGTAATTCTGTACAGAAGTTTCACGTATAGCTATATATATTATGCACTTCACTGGGTTTTTGCTTGACTATTCAGTCTCTTAATAGCAAATTCAACCCTTGTGTTCTTGATAGCATGTAGAAATGTACATGTGTGTATCTTTGGTGGAGAGGATTAAAGAGGATAAGCAAATTTACATATCGAGAACTAGTTTTAAAATATTAGAAATCATTTAAAGTTAAAGCGGCAACTTTAATTTCAAGTTATATTTTATGTTAGTGAGATTTTATTGCGAAGCAATGTATAAAAATGTCTGTTTTAAATTAATGGCGTTTGTCTCGGAAATCTGCTCAGAACATTGAACAGTAATTTTGTGATTGTATATACTTTTTAATGAGCTGTTGTTAAGTAATTTCAGTAATGTTTTCCGTAGGAGCAATCATAATATGCGTGTGCGTTTAATCATTATTAGTATGTAGTTCTTGAATTCGTTAAATGTTTATAAATGAATGCCTAAATATTTCTGTCATTTCGAGTTATTACCTTTGTTTGATCCCCAGTAAGTGTGCTGCCTTACAACACTAAACTCCGGGGTTCAATTTCTCACAGTGGAGAGAGTGCAGGTTTGTATTGAATGTGTGGTTTAGTGCTAAACAACACAACAACAAAAGACTTTGCTCGTCTGGTGCTTCTTGGTTTGTGATGGTAAGTGTAGAAAGGTGAACCAAAACAGGTTATGATTGCATATAACTGGCAATCATTAGTAATAGAAGTATTTTATAACATACAGTTACCAATAATTTGTGATTTAATAAATGGTTAAAATATATTTATCCTCACATTGAAACGGATAGATATCCGTCTATTTTACCAGCTTTACTGACGATCTCTAAAATGATTTAGTATATTTTCTTCGATTTACTTTCATCTTCTCTATGTTCTAATCCAATGTACATTTTTAACTGAGGAAGAAATATAATTAGATCTTACCAAGGCCGACATCACCGTGAATGTACCAATGCAACACAGATTACAACCTACATAGCTACTAGGTCTTCCATTATTTAAAACAGTTCTACACCAGCTATTAATTTCAAACTCAATAGGCAAGCGTCTGGTATAAAACAAAAATGGCTGCCGTATCATATACAAAAGTTACTATAAGATGGATTCATGTGTTCTGTTGTCACGGTGTTGTTTGATATTAATTTTCATTTGTCAAGATTTTTAGCTTTGAGTATAATAATGATGTAACAGCTAGAAAGTGAAGTCCAATAACTATCCAGAAGATAGGGAGCAGCTTATATTGGATCTAATTTTATTTTTGCCATACAGAGGTCCTTCCTCCCTCAAACAACTAAAATAGTCCTGTACGATGTTAAGAAAACTAAATTAATTAAATTAAGTGAAACGTCGTGAAATTCTTTTAAAACTCATGTTTTTCGCTTCTATTTAGAAAAGCCAATGGATTGTTACCTTTCATCAGTTAAAAGAGCAGATGGATTATTACCTCTCAAAACTTAATTAATAAACTATATGCGCTTAGAAAATGATGGAAATGGAAGAAAACGTTACAAGTCGTAATCACCATCAAATTATGTTTAACGTTTTTATTGAATTTATTAAATCCGAATCTAATGCTCTTTTTTCAACTATATATATATATATATATGAAGTGTTTGTTACTCTTTCAAAGCGAAATAATTATTGACAGTACCTAGCTACCTAGCTGTCTAGCAAACATAATCAGTGTTCAGTCTTAATGTATATATACCGCTGCAAGGCAAGAAAAGAACCAAGTGTTAAATCTTGCCGTACCTATACCACTTCAACGTGAGAAAAGAACCAAGGGCTAAATCTTGCTGTATACGTACAACTTCAACGTGAGAAAAGAACCAAGTACTAAATCTTACTGTATACATACAACTTCAACGTGAGAAAATAACCAAGTGTTAAATCTAACTCAATCTATATCACTGTAAGGGGAAAAACCAAAGTGTTAATTTTAACTGAATCTCTTCGTCCGCGAGGTAAGAAAACCTCAAGGGCTAAATGTAACTAAATCTATGCTGCTATAATGTGAGAAAAACCCAAGTAAAAAGCTAGATAACTTTTCGATGAAATAATGAAAAATTTTGCATTTTAAGAAACTATAAAAATAATATTTTTCACCCCAAAAGAAAAAAACTGTTTTATTTTGAATAACATTCTTATCATTAAATTAATTGGGTTGATCAGAGTTGACAGAACTCGAAATAACACTTCTCTCTTGGTAATGGAACAGAAACATTTTTCCTGTTGCAATCTTATATCTAGTTATTCAAGCGATGACGTGTTTGACTCTACATCAGTAATTCCTTTTAAAACTTCATAACTGACTGTTTTATTTGTAACCTCACCTAAAATCAATCTGGGCCGTGTTAGATAACTCGGCGAAGCATAGGTTTGTAAGATATTGAAGTGTGTCTTGTTTGACTATAGCCTATTCATCGAGGATTATGGTCTGCAAGTGGTTCACATAGGTTTGTAAGATGTTGAAGTGTGTCTTGTTTGACTATAGCCTATTCATCGAGGATTATGGTCTGCAAGTGGTTCACATAGGTTTGTAAGATGTTGAAGTGTGTCTTGTTTGACTGTAGCCTATTCATCGAGGATTATGGTTTGCAAGTGGTTCACATAGGTTTGTAAGATGTTGAAGTGTGTGTTGTTTGACTATAGCCTATTCATCGAGGATTATGGTCTGCAAGTGGTTCACAGATGTCAGCAGAGGATTTTCTGGAAAATGCATATTCAAATTTATCAGAAAAGGTGACCAATTGATTAAGATCCGGTGTTTATGCTGACAAAATAAAATGATTGAAGCCACTGCCATCTTTTCACAATTTGATTACAGTGGATTCTTGCATTATCATCTTCCAGGAGTTCTTACTCTTCTGAGTTAAAATGCGTCATTGTAGAATGGGCATAATAATCAACAATTCTTAGACATACACTGGATGTTTTCTCCCTTTTAAAAGAATCAAAGAACCCTACTCCTTACACGAGAATGCTCCTAACATAATTATACCACCTTCAGCATCTTGCATTTTTTCAAGATTATGTGTCTAACATGGTTAACCTCACATTATAACTGTCAGTGCAGAACAGAATGAAACGCCTTTTACCAAATCACAAGACACGGTTCCAGCCATCCATTGTCCATATTTATACTCTAAGCACCATTGAAGCCTTGCCTTTTTGTTTGAATCTAAGATAAACCGTTTTCAAACTAGTTATTGACTATTATGTGATAAGTTTTGTAATGCTCTTCGTATAGTACAGTTGGAGTTGGCCGAATCTTTACAGGCATCTCTTATGTCCTATAACCTCGTCCAGTCGTTTTTCTCTCGGTCATTCACCGGGGGTTAACTACAACAAGTTTCCCTAAAGACAGATGTATTTACTTTCATAAACTCTGACAAGATATCTTTAAACAGCTAGAATAACTACGATATGACTACATTTCTCTAACATCTCACATGATCAGTCTATTTTGCTCTTGCATTGTTTAGCAAGTATGTGTGTATGCGTGAGCGAGTGATCCTAATGAAGTATTCAGTTTGTGTGTTTACTCCACATTTATTACTTTTTATAACTTTGCTTAAAATAGTAGATTCTATAATGATTGGTCTTTAAAAACTACTTGAAATAAGATGTTCGAAAATGTTGGTTACAGTATAACAAAAACATTTGCAGAACATGAAGAAAAATATAATAAAATATAAACCTTATTGTGGCGACCCGCAAACTAATCTTTCATTATCATAAAACATGTAGAACAAAGTACATTAAGCTCTGTTTTCATCGCAATTTACTGCAAAAGTTTCTTGTCAATTCTATAAACTTTAAGTCTCCTCACATTCTGTAACAAGGTTTAATGGTGATAAAGTTAATGCAGTTAACCGGAAATACAAAGAACTTTTTTATACCACACAACAAATGGTAAGTACTCTCATCCTATGATCATAAATTACTTGAAATCAAGATGGTATATATAGAAAATGGGTACATACCTGCGATAAGTACAAAATAACATTCATATTTTTAGGAATAGAAATGAAAAAAAAAACTTTCAGTGGAAAAACTGTTATGGTGTCTAAGTAAATTCTGTGCTTTGATAACTAAGAGGAAACTTTTCAACTTTTGGTAAACATTTACCAGTCAGGTGAGAGCTGAAACTGGAAAAGTACTAAAACACTATATAACAGATTCTGTTCTGCAATTTGCTCTTGGCATTTTGTTGCGTGATCTCAAAAGTGGAAAAATGCTCATCGTATCAAAGATACTTCATATTTAAATGAAAATCATAGGACCTTAAAAACAAATGACTATTGAGTACATGTACAGATAATATAAACATGAACTCGTAGTTCTCAAGAAACATGATAAAATACCTTACCTTTTTAACTGGATCCACAGTCTTCTCGAGCTACAATAGGTTGGATTTTGACATAACTAGATCGGTGTCTTCAGGCTTAGACAAGCTTCCTCGGAAGAACAGAATTTGTAGACATGTAAGTCGGATTGTTTTTGCTGCTGTCCTTTAGAACGTTTTCTTACAGGAAATGCCACCAATTTCTTAATTTTACATAAAACAAATCACCTTTCCATCGCACAAATGAATGTTTAAAAACATGACACAATGCTAGTGTTTGCACTGGTTCTTACTTCTTATTTTTTTCAGATAACAATATAGAATATATCAATTTTTTTGTTACTTAATATGTCATCATCCCGGACAGAAATCCAACAGCTATCACTGTATTCTCTGTGTAGAAGATCTAAACAGAGAAAATTATAGCTCTGACTATTACAAAACAGCCTTTTTCGACTCGTACACATTCATCAACGCTGCCCCAAACCTGCCGAAGCCAGTTCAGATGCGAGCTAGTGTTAAAGGCCAGTTGCCGAGGGAGAAACGCTCGGCGGCGCCACTATCTGACAGCAACATTTCCAGTGCGAGGTGCTTCTTGGCAAGTAAATATTGGCACAATAGTCATGCGCACTAATGACCTGAGAAATGAGCTAGATTGCTGATGTAAGTAACAGTTTCCTATTGTGCGTTGAACAATGTAGTGGTATTACACAATACAATAAATTTATAATCACTTGCATAATGTTTTACTCTCTAACTGTACGGAATTCTGAGTTTCACTACATATTTACATAATGCACACTGATTTTCTAACGGTTAATGCGGATATTAATAAAAACGTGGGAAATGACAGAAATTAAGTGGTTTTTAACTTAATCTTCCAAAAGTGAATACTAATCTGAGTTCGAAACGTTTCTAAACTTAATTGTTGTAATCCATGTTTTCTACAGAGATTAATATGGCCTTGTCTAATTAGGCATAAGATCGGAGATAATGAAGGTTTTAGGTTATATCATAGTGTTGCTAGAAGCGTTCACCAATACAAACAGATTAAAAATTTACGTTAAAACGTTGTTCATGTGATGAAAAATTAATGGAATAAACATCTTCAGAAAACGGATAGAAATCGAGCTTGACTGCAGATGTTGACTAGTTTGTTAGGCATAAAAACGTTAATTAAACATTTAAAATTGTTCATAATTATGGATTTATTTTGTAAAGAAATAGACTGACCTTCAGCAATGTTGTCTGATCGAAATAGAAGGATTCAACAGTAAATTGTACCTAATTTAATTAATTAAACATCGAACAAAGGGGACTTGTAAAACGCAACACTTGGCGTGGCCTAGTGGTAAGTAAGCTGGAACTGTGAATCCGATGTTTATGGTTCGCAAAATCTCTCTCCACTCATTAGAGCCGTGGGTTGCAATATAAGAGTGGTGGTCAATACAAACCCTGTCTTCGTTTTTCATTGTTTCTTTCAGCTCCTGTTGATGATTTGTGGTTCAACTTCATTTCCAGTACAGTTTTTGTCCAATTTCAGTTAAATAAGTTTATCTTTTATTTATTTTTCCATTCAAATACATTTAATGTTTCCGGTATTATTACATTTTCACTTTAAATCACAATGGAATATTCCAATCGATTATTCTTCTATTTTCTTTTTACCTAATTTTTAACTTCAACATCGTATCTCTTTTATTCCACCCATGCTACCTACGGCGAATTACTACACCTATCCTTCAACATACTAGGTCCTTGAATGTTCACTTATTGTGGAAATTGTGTAATTCTTCCACATACTAGGACCTTGAATATTTACTTATTGTGAAAATCGTGTAATTCTTCCACATACTAGGGCCTTGAATATTTACTTATTGTGAAAATCGTGTAATTCTTCCACATACTAGGACCTTGAATATTTACTTATTGTGGAAATCGTGTAATTCTTCCACATACTAAGTCCTTGAATATTTACTTGTTGTGGAAATCGTGTAATTCTTCCACATACTAGGACCTTGAATATTTACTTATTGTGGAAATCGTGTAATTCTTCCACATACTAAGTCCTTGAATATTTACTTATTGTGGAAATCGTGTAATTCTTCCACATACTAAGTCCTTGAATATTTACTTGTTGTGGAAATCGTATAGTTCTTCCACATACTAAGTCCTTGAATATTTACTTATTGTGGAAATCTTGTAATTCTTCCACATACTAGGACCTTGAATATCCACTTGTTGTGGAAATTTGAAACTCCCTTCCCATACTAAGTCCTTGAATATTTATATCTTGCGGAAATTTGATAATCCTTCCATATACTAGGCCCTGGAATATGTAGTTGTGGAAATCGGGTAATTCATCCACATACTCTGTCTTTGAACATTTATATGTTGTGGGAATCTGGTAATGTATGCTTTGTTTATCCACGAATTTCCAAGATAGCAAGAGGTACTATGAATGGTAAGCGATAAAAGATTCAGAACTCGGAACCATGGGCGCGAGAATTTTCGGCGTTTCAGTAGTTTTCTTTTTTGATTTTTCAAGACACCAACTGAGGATTCGGGACTCTGTCAAATAGAATCGTGGAAGGGACCCCGTGTGCCATTGCCTAGCGACGCCTCTACCATTAGCCTACATATAGCACATTCACACACGAATAAGCAGCTAGGAGTATTAACAGACTTCAGAAAAAAGTCAAAGTTTGCCGCCTGGGGGCGCTGAGCATTCTCTATAGCCTATATAAAAGCGGAACTTACGAACGCTATTTGAATTTCATGCATAGCTGAGAAAGAAGCAAGAATCCCCAGGAGAAGCCATCTTAGTGAAGTTATGTAACCAACCAAGAAGTAATACTGCAGAAACGTCGTAGCAGTGTTACGCCACCTGGCGGCGATGTTCCGGTGTGTCCTGCATGACATGACTGTTATATCTGTAAATTTCAACTCAATCTGAATTGCGATGTCTGAGCTACGATATTCTGAACATGGTAAAAGACTTTATAATCACACTATATCATATTTTCTTCTTCATACTCTTTTTCTCAAAAAAACAACACTATCCTCACTTCAAGAATATTCCTATTGCTTTGAAGTTCAACAAAATATTCACTCGTATAGCATGTCCTATGTTGCAACATAAAATTAACATACAAAGTCTAGTTAGATATACAACAGATTACGATAGCAATAAATGGAGTTAGTAAAACTACTTATGAGATGCAAGTCTGTTTCTTAGCGTCCTGGTATTATACTACTGTCATTTTATTGTCTAAAGCACTTTTACAGGGGGTAAGTGAATTATAATTCCTACATGAGTTAGATGGTATATTTATACTATGGAATATTAAATGTGGGTTAAATAATGGCCCTATGTTAGTAACCAAAGGGTTAAAAAAGCAAGTCATTGTTCCAAATGTTGAACAACCCGCAATCGACAGACGTTCTTGGAATGAGCCTCAAGCATACCTTACCTTTCAATCGATCAGACCCTTTGAAGAAGTCTAGTCTAAAAGCAAAAAAAAAAAAACTCATTATCTAAAGTACATGGTAAGCGAGCAAAGCAGTAACGCAACGACCTTTACACATATATAAGATTCGTGTAAAATTGATTAAACAATATCCTAGATAACTACAAAATTCACCTAAGTATAGTAGATATCTTATATGCCTACTATATTTACCAGAATATAGATTTTGAGGATAATTTTTAAGTATATCATAATTCCTCACACAACACCGTACAAGGAACCTCAAATTAAAGCGGTGTGTCTGCGGACTTACAACGCTAGAAACCGGGTTTCGATACCCGTGGTGGGCAGAGCACAGATAGCCCATTCTGTATCTTTGTGTTTAACTTCAAACAAACAACATATGCTGATATAATGGGCTGTTGTTGTATATTCTAGTCATGCGCTACAGGCGATATGTTCCACACTTACATATTTGGTTCACGGCGAATTACCAGCCTTTCAATGACGAACAGTCATATCGTGAGATTGTTGAAAATGTAGGAAACAACATTCCAAAGAATGGAAGCGTCGATGTCTACATGGAAGTGGGAAACTTGCACAGCAAAGCGTTTAGGACAGCAATAAGTTCTGATACCACGCACTCAACCATTCAAGAGCAATATCCTCATCTTTGGTTATGAAAGAGAACCTCCAGACAACTACCACAAAAAAGAAACATTATAGTAAAGCTAGGCATATATTATGGTGCTTTAATCAGATAATGAGATGAGTTCGTGTTTATGAAGGCTCCTAAGCTAAAAGTGTATAAAATTTAAGTCACACTTGGAAATGGATGTCTGTTTTGATGAGAAAGATGGCTGAAGAAACAATAATAGCAACAATCACATTTAACCACATATCAAACAAGCCTTTCTATGCAGTTTCAATGGACGTTTGTAACTTTGATTTGCTGAAACGTGACCTTGGACACCAAATAATAGGTCCAGTAGAGGAAGACACTGCAGAAAGCTTATCAGTATATGTGGGTTTAAGATTGATCTCGCTGCCTCTCGCAGTAAAAATGCGTAATTATGTCCAGAATACTGATTTTTAATCAAAAGAAAATAAAGAAAAACACTTAAGAACTGTTGGTTCGGGACTTCTTAAAAAATGGCAAGTTGTCTTGTAATGCTAAATAGTTTTACCTAAAACGGACTGAAACAAAATCGAGGTTGTATAACTTAGCAAATTTATAGCAATAGCTTGCTTTAAGCTCTAATTTTTTTGTAACAGTTATGATCTCTCTCTTACTTCCTCATCATCATCAACTAGATCTCAAAGTATTTGTTTTAACTCTAATATATTTTTATTGTGTTTAAGTTTGGTGTACGAGACAAATACCAAATAATTCAAATCCCAGTACATTTTCAGCTTTGACTTATAATAGCTTCCCCTTCATATCGATTAAGTATGCACTTAAATAGGTTTTACAGGGGCAAAGTTTTAATCAACTATGTGTAACTTTAGTACATGTATCATCCACAAGATCACTCCTAAATTTCTACAGTTTAAAGTTACAAACTGTCACCTCCAAAGAAGCCCCACCCACTTCTACTGCTGATGAAGTCTACTTTACCAAGAACTTAGACTTAAACATTATCCGTAAACGGCTCTTTGCCAATAGAATGGACTCCCTGCTGTCTGAATTACAGCACAGAATCTCCTATCCGGATTCCATTCATCTATCATCTATCATCACACGACTTTACAATACGAAAATTGGCCTACATGAGCATATTCAGAACATCAAACTAAGAAGGCTTGGTATCTCGGGTATTTCTACTGATTTTGAAATTGGTAAAGTCATTTTTCATTACAGTTCTGTTTCCCTTATCGAGACGTGTAAACAAGTCCTTGGTAAAGATCTCAACTTCTGTTTACCTCCGACCAAACTCTCATGCTGATTATTTTGTCTGTTTTGAACAAGTTCACAAGACGATCAAGAATTTTTTTATTTACAATCCTCC